ACTCTGTCTGCAGTTTATCATTTGCAATGACATTATGTAGCCTATTCTTGCCAAGCAACTTCAGCTCTACCACACTGTGCTGTTCTGTATTGTCAGCAGTGATGGGTTCAGAAGTGCAGAGAAAAATGCTGAAAAGCCTTTCACTTGCAGCAAAATTCCTCCTCAGTTACACTACATGATCAAATACAGATAGTACTGCTTAAAAAAAATACAAAGACAACACCCTCCAGAATTTTTTAAAGCATATGACTATTCAAAACACAATCAGGTTGTGCTATAAAATCTGCATTTGCTAACAAATCAGATAAAAATAAACTTCCACTTTTGCCAAGGGTCCCATTCAGATTACAAGAAACAAAGTGAACAGACTGTTTAACAGCAATGGTAATTCAGAAGAAAAAAAAAAAAACCAGAGATGGCTTAAATCATATATACTTTGGGTCACGGGAATGTACAAAGTGTGCAGTCAGAGAACAAGTGGGGAAAAACAGCACTTAGCTGTAACTGCAAAATCCCCACAGCTGCACACCATTAAGCAAGAGAACCCAGCCCAGGTCAAATAAAGCTGCCCTGCACCCAGAACTTGGGTGGCCTCAGGAGCTTAGATGTCTCTGCTGCAAAATCCTCATGTCACAGACTGAGCATTCTTTGGCCCAAGGTCTGCGCCAGCCAAACAGAGCGACCTCGTCTCGTTTTACAGGAAACTGCAGTCACAAACCGTGCTAAACAAGGGCATGAAACCAGGCAAAAGGAGTAGAAACAAACACAGAAGCCGCCTTGGTGAGATGGTCTAAGTTACCAGCTGGAGGAAAGTTACAAAGTAAAAAGCAGGACACGAACAGCTAAAAGGACCCCTTCCAAGGATGGCAAGAAAAAATCAATTTTCTAGGTTCTCCAACTGACCACATCTTCATAACCTCAACCTCTTACCACAACAGAATCATCTTGCCACAAGCTGCTCACTGCAGCATTTGGACCCCACATCCACGCAAAGCAGACCCCCGCAGTTACAGGGCACAGCCCTCAGACAGGGGAGGTTAAAATCAGCTTTTCATGCAAGCTCCTTCCCTCAAAAAGCCAGATGGAGAACTCCACCAAAGAGCAGCCAGCACAGTAAGCCTTGAGATGCACTCTAGGACCTGATCAGCTGAGCCCCAAACCCCCCCAATTAACTAATGTTAACTACCCCCATAAGTAAAGAGGAAGCAAAATATTATTATTCCATTCAAGTCTCTTGACTTGCACCACAGATACCATCACGACAATTTTTTGTGTGAGCTACCCCCACCTCCTGCAGATGAAAAAGCAGTGATACCTTTACTAGTTAGATATTCCAGCAAACTAGATTAAGCCACATCTCAGTGATAACCCTACACAACATTTTTGCAAAGAATGCCTGCTGGAAGTTTGAGAGCCCACATGTGGAACTGAAAGGAAGCTGAGCAAAGTGCCTCTCTGAACGTGTGTTATTGGGGTGTTAGAGCATCCCTCAGAGGCACGGGCAACACCAGCAGAGCTTCTGCTCCCTCAGGATGCTGCTGCTCGTTGGCATCACTGAGGAGCCAGAGCAGCCAGCCTGCCCACCGTGCAAGGAGCTTCACACCTGTACAAAACACAGGTCTGTGGGGCTCTGCTGCACCATTCCACGTCAGAGACGAGGAGCACAAAGGGAAGCTTGTGCCAGAGTTTGCTGGTTTAACTCACAGCAAGCAATCCACACACCCCGCGGGGGCAAAGCTCTGCATACCTTCTGTGCCACCTGTGGGCCGCTGTCCCAAGATGGAAGAGGGTTTTTCAGTTCTGAGCTCCTCCCCGTAACACTGGCACGTTTCTCTTTCTCCTGAAAGCCATCCTCCCGCAGGCTGGTACACTGCTGGTTTGCATCACTGCAGAACTCTCTCAGCCTGCCCAGAGTTTCCAAACAGATACGGGACTTCTCACATTTCTGAGATTCTTCTGTTGGTGAAAATTCACAACAAAAACATACTAGCTATTTATTTTATAAAAGGGAACGTCTATTAGAAGAACATCAGTAAGCACAGACGCAACCATTTTGCTCCATGTCTCTCTTCCATTGTGCTCCCTCTCCTCTCCCACTGCAGTATTTCTGCCAGCCTGACAGAATCATGCACTTGAACAGCTTGGTTAACTTCCCTGGAAAACCAATATTCCTCACTTCTCTCTAAGTGGGAAGAGATTATTTTTTGGACTGACAACTGCACAGCCACAAAGTTAGCTAAGAAGACTGGGAATCAAGCAGATTTTCTTTCAATACACTTCTTTAGGCAGACAGTATTGCCTCTTGACGGTGTACTAGTGATACTTCAAAGCATCACACCAACAAACTTAATACCGTTCCCACTTTGAAACTGGAGAGGCTAATTCTTTCTATTGAAACATAATGAACTTTACATTCATGGGTTTTTCATACCAGCATTACCTTATTAAATTCTCTGCTCAAAACCGGATGGAACTCAGGCACTGATGAGGCAACACAGCAGCTGACAATGAAAAACTTATTTGCTGGCTGCCAATGCTTGAGGGTTTGCTAACAGTCAACTCACTTTTATCCTGAGTCTTCAGTGGGTTACAGATCTCTTCCAGAGTAATCTGCCGTGCCTTGGTCTTCTTTTCACAGGGTTCATTGCTTTCAGTAGATGTGCTCCTTTTTGTGCCACACTTAGAAGCCTGAAACATAAATTGAACTAATAAGTTCGGTTACCTTTTCTGTTTGCTCTTCTCTGAAAGAGAACAAAGCAACTTCACAATAAGTTAAGGCAAAATTGTCCAACCTCCCATCCCTGGCATTGCTCAAAGCCAGATTGGAGGAGCTTGGAGCATCCTGCTCCTTAGATGTATTTTGAAGCATGCCTTTAGAGCACTATGTAAACAGAAAATTCACCGATTCTGCTGTTTTATCATTGACCTTTTGCAAGAAGCTTTACTAAATATGAAGAAGTAACTTGTAAATCCAACAGAACACAAACACTTCTCACAGAAGCACACAACAGGTGCTTTCAGCAGCTTGCATCCACATTTCATATCGTGACCTCAGATGGTTTAACCATGGAATTTAAATTTCCTTGGAACTAAGCAGGAACTCCAGCCTCACCAACTAAACCCAAAACCTCCATATAACCACAGCCCACATGAGTAGCAGTTTCCAAGCCCACTGTTAAACACCACCAAATTAACACTAATTAGGAAGTTTATTCTACAAGGACAGAAAGATGTAACCACACCTTTCAACATATATTTGGACCAAAGGCAACCAAAATACCTGACTTGAGTCACAGGTAAAAAAAGCAAACACCCTTCCAGGGCCAGAAGGGGCTGGAAACAGTAACGACATGGAGAGTGGAAAATACAAACTCAGAATGAAATCCACCAGCAGAGACACAGCCACTTTTCCCCAGTGGTGACACTGGGAGGATCTTTTGGCCTTGCACCTACCAGCACTCAGAGCCCGAGTCACCTGAGCTCCAGCACCTGGGACAGGAGCACAGCTCGCTCACTGCATGCCAGAGCTGCCCAAAAATGGGGTTCATTCCTCAGCGTGCCAGCAGCCAGCAGTGGCACCCTGGAGAGAGAGACCCCCATCGGGGCTGGGCAGGCCTGGCTGCCCCCGGGCTGCTCCAGCACAGCCCTGCCCTCTCCCTGCCATCGCTGCCGTCGCTCACACACACACAGAGCCGGGGCTGCCCCAGCCCTGCCCCTGTGCCAGCGGTGCCCAGTGCCCGCAGGCTGGGTGAGCCCTGTGTGACCTGCAGGGCTGAGTCTGGGACTGCCCTGAGCAGGGGCAGCTGCAGCACCTGGGGGCCCTGAGCCTTTACACCAGGCTGCCAGGCACGCAGGGGCCTACACCAACATCCTGATTTACGTCCCTAAAACTTGCTAACTGCAGGAGCCCTTGACTAAGGGATGCAGCTGCTGCCTGTCCCACTGGTCAGGTCTCATTTCTGGCTGATGATGCTTTAAAGAACACAAAGATCAAACCTCAGAGAACATCCTGACTTATGATAACCTTAACATATTCCACATTTTGCAAAACTGGAAGGCACAGGGGTTCAACACTGGTGTGAAGCCCCAATGGCATGGACCAACATGCTGGCCTTGCCCAGATCACCAAACCTGTGCGAAGCTCCAGCTTCTGAAACAGACACATCGTGTATAACAGAATCCCAGGGGATTTGGGGCTGGCAGGTTCCTCTGGAGCTCCCCAGCCCAGCCCTGCCCAGGCAGGGTGCCCTGGGCAGGGGCACGGGAAGGTGCAGCTGGGGCTGGGATGTCTCCAGCCAGGGACACTCCAGGCCCTCCCTGGGCAGCTGTTCCAGGGCTCTGCTGTCCCTCCATGGACACAAGTTCTCCCTCCTGCTGCCCTGCACCTCGCTGCCCTTTATTTGATGGCCACTGCTGCTCATCCTGGCACTGGCAGCACCGAGCAGAGCCCGGCCCGTGCTCTGGCAGCCCCTGCAGATGTTGGGATGCATTGATGGCATCCCTGGCAGCGTTCCCTTCTCCAGCCTGCCCAGCCCAGCTCCCGCAGGCTCTGTCCAGCACACGGATGCTGCACAGCCCAAATCCTCTCTGGGGCCTGCCCTGGGCCCTGTCCAGCAGCTCCGTGTCCTTCCTGCCAGGCTGGCCCTGAGGACCCGGGCACCGGTGCCCACACAGATCGTACAGCCGGGAGCTGGCAGCCTGTCCCGCAGTGTCTGTGCCCCGGTCAGGGACATCGGGATGGACACTGGGATGGACACCGGGATGGACACCGGGATAGCGGGCCGTGTCCGCCCCGCCCCGCCCCGCCCCGCGCACCGTGTAGCGGGGCCCGCGCTCGCCGTCGCTCGCCGCCGCCCCGAAGAACCTGCTGAGCACCGGCTGCCCCGCGGCCCCGCCGCCCCGCCGGCCCCGCGGCATGGCCGGGCCCCGCGCCGCGGCACCGCCTCCCGCCGGATGCGCCCGCTCGGCCCGCCCCGGCCCGCCCCGCCACGGCACGGCCGCGGCACGGCCCCGGCGCGGAGCGGAGCGGCCCGGCCATGGCGCGCTCGCTCAACTCCATCGTGGCCGTCAGCCAGAACATGGGCATCGGCAAGGACGGGCGGCTGCCCTGGCCGCCGCTCAGGTACCGCGGCCCCCCCGCCGCTGCGCCCCCCGCCCGCACTACAGCCCCCAGCGTGCCCCGCGCCGCGCGGCAGCAGGCGGGCGCGGCGGGGCCGCGCGGGGCGCGCCGGGAGCTGTAGTGCTTGAGGGGATGCTCTGTGAGGCGGGAAAGCGGCGGCGTGGAGGGAGCGCGGCTGTGGGGTTGTTTTTCACACTGTTATTGTGCTTTTGAGAGCTTTTCATAAATAGCTTTCATGCCGTGGCCGCAGCTTATCGCTCATGCGACCACAGCTGGGGGACAAAGGTCTCGTCTCGGCCAGGCACCGGCTCAGCTCTGTCCAACCGCCTCTCCCCGGCCTCCGGCAACACACCCATTACGAGTGGGGATTTTTCGTTGAAATGAGAGAACTTAAAAAAAAAAAAATATATATATATATATATATATATATAAACTAGAGAACTTATTCTTATACACGTTGTAACGCAGTCCGTGCTTCCCCGGCAGGAATGAGTACAAGTACTTCCAGAGAATGACGAGCACGGCCCGTATGGAAGGTAACGCGTGGGGTGTGTGGCGCCCCAAGCTCGGCTCCGGCCTTTCCCTGCCTCGGCCCTCTGCCTTGCCTTCCCTGAGAAGTCCCACTTGTATTTCAGCCCTTTCAATCGCTCGGGCTAGATGAGGAAAGAGGATGAAGCAGATATTTCAGAGGAGTTGCAGATTGCTCCTCTTAGGGAGCAATTTTCAAGTCCTTCTTTCACCAGAAGAATAGAAAACTTCATCTAAACTTTACCTAACAAGTCTTTACACGAAACTCCAAGTTAAAATGGGAAGGTTTTTACAAGCTGCTTAATTAGCAGAGGTGGTTTGGTTTTTTTAGTTTGCATTAGCTTATCTCACTTGTTTGCTGTGGCTCAGCCTTGGCCGTTTGATCCACCCCTCTGACCCTTGTGACAGTAATTTTGCCGAGTTTTCTGAGTGCTGAGCCAAATCCATGCACCAGAAAGTCCAAACCATAGAGCAGAAATCCTGCAGTTGTTTGTCAACATGGTCACTTTTTCATGGTTTGTTCAGGGGTTTTTTTATGCCGTTAAAATTCACTTGTTTGGTAAAAACTCACTTTTGGTCAGCTTTATATGTTCCTACATTTTGATTAGGTGCCATACTCCATTTTCTGCCTTGAAATATTGTTTTGATTAGGTGACTTATTCAATTTTCTGATTGGAATGTCTGTCACATAGTCCACAAGGAATGCCTGATCTCATTTTGAAACAGTTCTGAGTGAAAGACTTATACATACATTTAGAAGACCTGGTTCAACCCTTCGCAGCCCTGTATGTACTAAAAAAGGACGGAACACAACTGACAGTTGTCAGTCTTTTTAGATGTCTGCAAGTTGCATCTTACCTGGCAGAAATAAGCTGTGATCAAGAAAAAAGATGTTTGAAATATAATTACAGAGAAACATTTTGCTCTGTCCTGCCTGCAGATCTTTTGATAAGCTGTGATCTCAGATGCTGGGCAGGTAAAGTGCTTCATAACCAGACTTCTTAATGGATTATGCTGCCATAAATCTCCACACCAGGGATGTCACCTTTGCCTCTGTTGTGTCTCAGCCTGGAAACAACATGGAAGGAGTGACCATGTTGGCATTGTGGATTTTTTTCTCTGATAACTCCTTTTCCTCATAAAGAGAAACATTCCTTTCGTTAGCAGATTTACATATGAGAGGTAATCAGGTTATGAATGCTTGGGCTAGGTCAGAAATCATATTTATGCATGAATGTTAGGGTATGGTTGATCACCTGTAGCACTTTGGCTTTGGATTTAATTTGAGTGGTTCTTGTGCTAGAAATTGTTGTGGGTTTATAAATCAGTTCTCATTTGAGAACTGGGGCCTGAGCTGGTGCTTTTGCTAGCTGCTGCAGAGGGGCTTGGCAAGGCAGGGCAAGTCCATCAGTGTCTCTAAACAATTCAAATCCATTCTCTCCTGCTCAGGTAAACAGAATGCAGTGATAATGGGTAAAAAAACGTGGTTCTCTATCCCTGAGAAGAACCGTCCTTTAAAAGACAGGATTAATATTGTGCTCAGCAGGGAGCTCAAGTAAGTATGATAAATAAGGGCCCTGTAAAACCAATAAAAACCTGCACCAAAAAATGTCTGTAATGTTACAGCATACAGTAGTTCCAAATGTAGCATTTTTGATCCCTGTTTAGAAAGCATTTCTGCTGTTGGTTCTGAGTGTTATGACTACCTTACTCTTAATTTTGAATATTTAAAAATTCATTCAAAGGTAATTGTCATTACTTTGCATCATGAGTACTGCTTTTCGCTCTACTCACAAGCCATTTGACACTTTTCAGTAGTGTTTCTGGCTCATGTATTTCACTCTATTTCCCTAGTTCCTCCTTACACTGGTGGCCCAAAGTTCATTTTTTGAAGTTCATTTTTATTAGGATTTGTGGATGAACTGTCCTTTTTCAGAACTCACTTCTTGAATGCATCACCTACGCAAATATTTTTAAACACAAATGTCCACTTTCAGTGCTTTATTGCTTTGGAGGATGTTGGTGGATTGGCAGGTGATTATGTGAGAATATTGGCTTTTCAGCTGGTTTTGTTGAATGAAATGTTAACATTCTGAAATTCAGTTCAAAATCTACATTTTATTTCTTGATTATCTATATTGAACGATCTATGTTTAATTTATAGATTGTCTTTATCTTACAGATATGTAAATTTCTCAGTTACAATTTTTCAGAAACATGCTGTGAAATTCCAGACTCCTGATTTAGAATGCCTTCTAAATTCCAGTTAAGCTGTGATCTGTTGACCAATCCTACAGTCAGATGAGACTTTTAACATAGTTTAGCAATAACAGGCACTTCAAAATAATTAACTGACATGCAGCATGTAGTTATTTGTTAATTCAGCAAAGCACATTCTGTGTCTAGAGTGTATTGATGATCATGATGACTTGTCCTTGATTTATTTAGTAATAGATCTTTGCTTTTTCTAGGGAAACCCCGAAAGGAGCACATTATCTTTCCAAAAGTCTGGATGATGCTCTAGCTCTTTTGGATTCACCAGAGTTAAAAAGTAAAGTAGACATGGTTTGGATCGTGGGAGGCACTTCAGTGTACAAGGTACATTTAGCCTCCTCCTAAATTACTCATTTTCTGTGATGGGATGAGGATGAAGTTCCTATTACTGCTGCTTTAGGGGGTGCTTTCCCTTCACATTACCAGCAAACTGCAGTGATAGCAACAGAACAGGTCTCAGAGAGCAGGATCTCAACTCTCAAGCTCAGAATACCTGTCTAGAAGCTGAACAGTGCTCCTGCCAGTGGGCCAGTGTCACACTGTTATTGTGCTTTTGAGAGCTTTTCATAAATACCTAAATTGCTGGATTCTTTAGAAAAAGCCCATATTATTATGTTTATTTTACTGAGCCCATGGTTTTGTGTTTATTTTACTGAGATTGACTGACCCTGCAAAGGATGTGAAAAGAAAAAGAAGGAAAAGTGCTCCAGCATGTTTAGCCCAGAGTATGACACTTTGTACATGTAAATGGAGGAGAAAATAGGATTTAGAGAGAGCTGGCAGGTCATGGTGTTGCAATAACAGGAGATAACCACACAACAAAAGGTCGCACTCACTCTGCTTTCCCATCCAGCAGTGCTCCCACTCCCTGGGTCAAGAATTGTAAAGCAAATTGTATTTAACAGAAAAGGGAACAGTGCTGCTGTCCTGTAGTCATTACAGGCATGCTGGGAGATACACTGCAGTTGTTGTTGGGCACTCAGACGTGAGATGTGTGATGACAGTGCCATAATGCACCTGGTGAGGAATCAGGGCTGATACTGTGCCCTGTGAACAGGGTAGGAAAATGCATTTTTCTGGTACTTCTTGCCTTTACACTTTGTGCTTTTCATTAACCTCTGTGTCTGAGGGAAAGCATCTTTCACAGTAAAGGGATGAAGTAGTTGGAGATTTCTAAGACTGTTAGAAGATGAGGTGCATATGAAATAACGCTGTTGTTCCTCGTGGTGAAGTCCACCATGAGTTCCATGTGCAAACTTACTCAGCCTGTAATCAGATGTTATCCTACAGAAGAAATGTCCTTGGCTCTCTGCCATGACGGTGCCTGTGCCACTCAGAGGGTCTCTGGAGAGGGCAGAGCCACAGCCAGCTCTGAGCAGCAGCATTTGCCCCTTCCCTGCCACAGGCTCAGCTGTAAAGAGCTGCTGCTTCTGCTGCTTCTTCCAAGAGCATCTGTCTTGGAGGCTTCTGATATTTGGGAGGAAATAATGCCTTTTTTTTAGACCATTCCTCACCAATGCTCACATGATAAATTGGCAGTTTTGATCGAGAATAAATTGGAATGTACTGTTTGTGCTGATCAGTACAAGGGAATGTGTAAAGTAATGGGAGACCTGGCTATCCTGGACATGGACAAGCATTGAGAGAGATGGGAATGCCCAGTGTGGAGAAGAGAAGGCTCCAGGGAGAGCTCAGAGCCCCTTCCAGGGCCCAAAGGGGCTCCAGGAGAGCTGCAGAGGGACTGGGGACAAGGGCTGCAGGGACAGCAGCCAGGCAATGGCTGCCAGTGCCAGAGGGCAGGGCTGGATGGGATCTTGGCAATGAGGAATTGTTCCCTGGCAGGGTGGGCAGGGCCCTGGCACAGGGTGCCCAGAGCAGCTGGGGCTGCCCCTGCATCCCTGGCACTGCCCAAGGCCAGGCTGGACACTGGGACACTGCGAGGTGTCCCTGCCCATGTAACAGGATGAGCTTTAAGGTTCTGTCCAGCCCAAACCCTTTTGTAGTTTGAAAATTTCAGCTGTTTCTTCCCTTTCAAGCATCTGCCCAAGACATTTCAAAGGAAAGTTAGGGAGAAATCTGACAGTTCTATACAGATTCCTGCACTCAAACTGTCTTTGTGATGTTAATTAAAAGGGTTTTATGGGGACCGTGCACATCTGCCAAAACTACAAGTAATATTTTTAGTGCATGTATTAAAGATGCACAAAGGATTTTACAGGAATATTTCCATTATACTATGTGGAAATGTGTGGGAAATAAAATAGCAATTGGTAATTGAAGAGAATAATTTTATTCAGTAGTTGTAGGTATTTGGCTTTAAAGCATCATTTTGATTTCACTAGTTTGTGTGACTCAAATGTTGAGACCTGATTTTGTTCATTAATACAGGTCTGTGCTTGTCTAGAAAGATCTACCCCATTGTGATTATTCAGGCTGTGACAGGACTCTCTTACAGAAGAAAACCAAGTCCGTTTATGCTTTCTACTGTCAAACAGGAAGAATGTTCCCATGAGAGTTGTTCCCATGAGAGTTCCTTGCTGCCCTTTTAGACCAGGGGAAGCTCTTGCAGGTGGCAGATTTGCAGGTTCCCAGTGGGATCTGCCTCCGGGCTCTCTGTTATGGATTTCAGACTGTCCCTGTCATGCTGTGTGCAAGGAGCATGGTGTGTGCAGGGTAATTGTTCTGTGGGGTGCTGGCTCCCTGTGGCACAGTGCTTTTCCGTCGGGATCGCTGCAGAGTGCAACCACAGGCAGCCATGTGCTCTGAGAGCCTGTCAGGGGCTGCTGTGGGTGTCGGAGGAGGAGTGGGAAGATGTGGGGATCCTGGGGACAGCACTGCAGCTGCTGTGCCCAGCTCGGTCTGTGGTCCTGGGCACAGTGAGCTCAGTCTGGTGACATTCTGTTGGAGTGGGATTCCAGGGAAAGGGAAGCAGATGCGGAATGCACAGGATGTGAGGGTGTGTGTCAGAAGCTGCAGCAGCCGCTTTGCCATTGCCAGACAGCACCTCCGGGGCCCATATCGTTATTTCAGACAGTGGCTTATTGTCCTGCAGAGCCTTTTAACACAGCTGCTCGCCTTAGCACAGTACCATCAGTCTGCCTTGGGGAGCTCCACCCTGGTCAGGGCTGTTGTCACCGAGCTCTGGGAGCAATCCTGCAGGCCTGTTTCTGTAGATGGTGTGAGCAGGGAGTGTGCCATGACCTTCCAGGCTTTGCTGGTTTTTGTTTCCCGCACCCCTGGGGGTGGCCTGGGCCGTTCAGGATGTCTGGGCTGCTGTGCCCTCTGCTTGGCCCAGACACCATGCTGGAGCACCAGCCCGGCCTGCCCTCAGCCAGGGAGCTGGGCCAGGGGCCAGCAGCTGCCCAGCTGTCTGAGTGCACCTTTGGGACATGAGTGTCCAGTCAGTCTCGGGTACAGGTGGCTGCAATGCCCTGTCCAGCCTTGAGGAGCTGAGGCAAGCCAAGGCACTACAGCATGTGCTCCAGGATGGCATTTTGGGACAGGATGCTGCCTGCCAGGAGTGGGATGGAGGCAGGGGTTTGCTGCTGTTCCCATCCTTTTCCTCCTCAGACTGCAGGAGAGGGAGGGCCAAAGCTGTGAACACTTACAAGGACACAGAGCATCCCTCTGTTGGTTCTGGCCATCTCTCCCACTGCCCCTTGGCTCTCAAGGACACAGTTCTCTCCAGGGCATGGGAGGATTGGCATCAGCTGCTTCAGGCCCTTTGTGAGCTGTGGTGGCCATCCAAGCCCTCATGTAGGTCACACTGATGCTGTGCTCACACAGTCTAGGAAACCTACCTGACCTCTGCAACAGGGAAATGGGGAGCAGTGGGGACAGGGAGAGGCTGGGTGGAGCGTTGGTATTGGCAAGTTAGGGCAGGAAAGATTGAAAACAGCTCCGTCAGTTCAGTGAGAGTTCAGGAAAACTCATGTGGGTGTCATCTTGAATTTGACTGGACACTGATCCCTCATCAGGTTTATTATCTCCTAATGTAGCCACAGGGCAGTAGCAATGCCCCCAGGGAGGCTTTTGGCCTTCTACAGCACAGACTTACCAGGTAAATTTCCTTGCAATGCCCCCTGGATCCCCTGTGCACTCTTCTGGATCTCCCGAGCTCCAGGAGGAGCTGGGGTTGCTGTTGTTTGCCTGGATGAGGCAGGAGGAGCCCAGCAGTGGGTTACAGCAGTTCTGAAGCTGTTGCACACATGGCAGGCACTCTGATTTTGTGTGACCACTTCATGTTTGGGGGGCAGTCTGCTGGCTTGTGAGTGCTCCTTGTGTGCTGGGGGCTTGTGGTGCTGGCTCACTCTTTGGTGCTGGCCCTGGAGTCCCCCACAGCTGTTAGGGCTCATCAGATGTACTGGAGCACAGCTTCTGGCTCTGCTTCATCCCCAAGAAATTTCATTCATGGATATCAAAGCTGCTCCCACCTACACCTCAAGCATGGTGAGTGGGGAGAGTTGGAAGAGTCATTAATAGTTGGGCTCAATGGTCTTGGAAATCTCTTAAACCTTGGAGATTCTACAATCCTGTGATTTCAAAACCAGGTTTCTGTTCTAAGACACTGCTGGACCTGTGTGGAGGTATTGTCTCTTGAGAGGTTCAGGTCTTGGCCTTGACTCTGGAAAATAGTGCTCTCTGGACACCCTGGGGGGGTCAGGGGCCCACAGAAGGGTTTAGGCTGGAAAGGGTTTAAAGGCTCATGCCATTCCAAACCTCTTGTCATGGACTGGGACATCTTCCACTAGACTAGGTTACTCTGAGTCCACTCAGTATAAACTGTATTGGTCTCTTTTAACTACATTTAAACTGTGTGATTTAGATGGGCCAAAAACAACATTGAGGTTTTGCTGGGAGTAAGACCTGTAAGTCCATCACATCCTTAAATATTAAATAGGATGTTAAGAAAACCAAACAAAACCAACAACAACAAAAACACACAAATCCACAAAAACCAGCAGAGCCAATTTCCTTATGTGTATGGTATAGTTTTATGATGTTGAGTGAGTATATCACCATTCCACCAGCTCAACTCTGTGCCTCTAATTTCTCTTCAGTCCCAAAAAAATGGTGAAACCAGCGGAGTGGGCTGGACAGGGCAAGACTGAATTGAATATCAGTGAGGACCTGCTTTATTCCTTGTGGAAAGAACAGCACTATGACAAAACTCCTTTGCCACCCTGCCATGTCCTCAGCAGTATTTCACCGAGGCAGTGTCAGAGTCCAGGCCTCCCTGAACAGGCTCCTTTGGAGGCTCCACCTGTGGAAGGTTTCGTGTTTGACACGGAATTTATTTCTCTGAAGTTTCCTCTGAAGAACAGGGGGGACCAGGTGTTCCCAAGGGAGCAGGAGCTGTCCCCATGGGCAGTAACTGGAGTGACAGGGCTCAGGGTGGTGGGACAGGTCCATGGGGCAGGGTCTGCCCCCATGGCCATAATCACGTCAGCCATAGCCTGGGGGTGATTATGTGAGAATATTGGCTTTTCAGCTGGTTTTGTTGAATGAAATATTAAATTTTTGAGATTCAAATCAAAATCTATATTTTATCTCTTGATTATCTGTGTTTAGTGATCTATGTTTAATTTATAGATTGTGTCTTTATCTTATATAAACTTCTCAGTTACACTTTTTTCAAAGACACGTTGTGAAATTCCAGATTTTTAATTTATAATGCCTTCTAAATTACAGTTAAGCTGTGATCTGTTGACCAATCCTACAGTCAGATGGGACTTCTAACAGGCAGGGCTGTGGGCAGAGGCTGGGGCTGGGTGGGGATGGCAGCCAGTGGCTGATTTAAGTGTGTGCTGGAATCCCAAAGCAGCGGGGGAAAGTTGCCCTGAGCAGAGCAGAGCAAGTGGAAAAGTGTGTTTGTCCTTGCCCCTTGCAGGCTCCCTGCCAGGGGCAGTCCCAGCTGCTGAGGAGCAGTACGTGGCCTGAAGCCAGCCTGAGCCTGTTGCTCTTCCCCAAGCTCTTTTCTCTTTGCTGTTTACTGGTCACGGGCCACCTACACACACAGCCTCCAGAGCCAGTCTGGCCAGCTGAGGAGGCATCTGCACTTCTTCTGTGAATGTGGGGACGGTGACACAGCTGGCTGGCTCATTCAGCTAATGAAACCATCTCCCTAGAGCAGAGGTCACCATCTGGTCTCCCTGGGATTAAATTTAACTTTCTTTGCACCGCCTGTGGTTGGTCCCTCCCTGTGCTCCTCCCTGGCCTGTTGTGGGGGTAGAGAGTTCTTGATGAAGCTGAATTCCCCACAGGGTTGGATAGGAGCTTGATTTGTTCTTCTACTACAAAGCAGAAGTGTCTCTCTTTACAGAACATATGTTTTTATTTGTGAAGCAGATTATTATTCTGTCATTTTGCAAGTGTGACTCTTCTAATCTCCCTGTCCTTAACAAAGAAGAATACTAGTATTTGTGTACAAACTGGATGGACACCAGTTCAGTGCCGTTCGATGCTTGTCTGCTGTGACTTGCCTCTTTCATTTCTAACTGATCTCTAGTAGAGCAGCTTTTCTACAAATTAGCCTCTCAGCAGTGGTTAATTAATTTTATTGGATTCCATTTGTTATTACTTGGTTCCTGTGCTTGTTGAAGTAGTAGCTAATAGCCTGCTGCATGGTGAGTCACCTTCCACAAAAAGCACTGCTCGTTGCCAGTTTAAGCGACGGAGAGGAACAGCTACAGGCTTTTCAAAAAGGTATTGTAACTAGCCCTAGTGTAGCTCCTCATGGGTTATTGTAATACCCACAAGGTCTGGAAGAGTTGCCATTTTCAATCTCAAAACAAAATGTATATTCCTAACTCCTGAATTTGCTGGTGAAAGCCTCACCTAACAAACAGTATCTTAGAACATTTTCATCTGAGGACCTTGGAAATGTAAAAGCTTTCAGCATCCAGAGATGCTGCACCTCGAATGCTGTGATCAGTTTTAAGCACCTCACAGCAAGAAAGACATTGAGGTGCTGGAGCATTTCCAGAGAAGAGCAACAGATCCAACTTTGAAGTTAAACCAAGGGGTAGATTGATATCTGGAATTCCAAAAAATACAGCACAAATCCCTAGCAGTGATATGATATTAAGCATCAGAACAAATTACCTTGTGATGTGGGCATCTTTCAGCACTTAAACCTTCCTGTCTCCCAGAAAGGTGTGATTCAGAAATTGCTTGTTGCTACTGGGCCTACTGTTCCTTTCTTCTCACAGGGTTATTCAAATTTTGTTCTTAACTTCTGTTGGATACCCCAGGCTCTGAGAATTCGGTATTGCTGCCACTTACCAGGTGGAACTGACACAGGGTGAAATTATCCCTTTAGAAAGTGCTCTTCAGCAGAGTCTAAAAGAGGAGATTCAGAGTGTAATTTTCACAGCTCTGCTAAAAGCCTGTGATACATAAAATTGTGACTGAGTTTCTGTTGTTTCTAAAGGCAGCAATGGAGAAGCCAATTCATCATCGATTGTTTGTGACAAGAATCTTGAAAGAGTTTGAAAGTGACACATTTTTTCCAGAAATTGACCATAAAGACTACAAGCTTCTAACAGAGTAAGTACCAAAATGAGTACCAGGCTTGTCTTCAGAGTAATCTAATTTGAATGTTTTAAGGGTCATATTAAGGCCATGTTGGTTTGAGTTTGAGGTGAATTTTTCCCCAGAATCATACTTCACTTACAACCTGGAATGGCACCACACTCTACACAGATTTTCTTGGAACTTGCTGTGTTCTTCACCTTTCCTATGATCTTCACAGTAAAGAATTGTCTATGTCAGTTTGCTGCAAAAATAGCTTTTTCCTATTGTTTCCTGGTTTAGAATTACTCAAATATTTACTAAGCTTTGTAACTCTCAGTATGTTAGTAAATTGTATTTGGCCCCTGAATGTCTTTTATAAAATTGCCAAAGACAAATTAAATGGCTTGAGTTTTATGTATTTCTAAGGTTATTCCTTCCCTCTTGAGAAAATTCCCTCTTCCTAATAAATGCAGTAGGAAAAGGTGTACAAAAACTTACCATTTCTGCCATTCACTGTGGTTTCTTCTATATTATCTTTGTCATATTTCTGTTGTGCTTTTATGTTCTCTCCAACAAGATTACACCCAACAGGCACTGAGGAGCAGCAAAAATTCAGACACCTGCCTCAAAACCAGGGAGGACCAAACCTGTTTTCCTCCTGCTGCTCCTGTTTTGGCTCTCAGCTGGTTACAGAGCAGCAATGGAAGAAATAGAAAGTATGAGGAGTGAAACTCTCCTCGGGGGGCACAGGAATGGATTAGCACGGCTCTGGGGGAGGATAGGCAGGGGCAGGGAAGAGGGATGCTGGACAGACAAGGTGGGTGGGGAGGATGAGTCATCTTCTCCAGCTCCAATATATTGTGAGCTACTCTGTGCTCATTTGAGCGTCCTGAGATCTGACCCCAACGCTCCCTCTCGGCTGTTCCTAGCTATACGTTGTTTTTGGCCAATGTACTGAAATGAACATTGGTGTTAGAACATGATTTTGTCAAATAACAGGTAATTTCCTCACTGAAGTGGAAACCTGACGATGCCAAACCTTAGCAAATAAATTTAAAATATATCTCTCCCTCAAAGTCAGTATTACTCATACAAAATCCTTCTTCCTTTGCAGGGAGATGAAAAGATTTTTGAAAGTGTCTATTAATAAGAGGTGGTTTAGAAAACCTGGAATATAGAGGAACTCTTTCTGTGGTAGCAGTCACCTGTTTAGTAATCTCTTGCAGACTTGTAAAAAGCCTTGTCCTTAGCATTTCTTCTAACCAACTTAGGAAAAGCAAGGCAAGGAAAAAACCAAAGTGTTCCATAATCTCATCTTCCTTGGCTGATATTTTGAATAACATATTGGAGGCTTTAATAAAAAATGTTGGGTATTATGTGCATATCAATCATGGATAGTAGTTAATATGAGTCCTAAAAATGGTATACCTGTTCTAAAAGTCAATGTTTTCATTTTTTTTTTCCAAATAACTTGCTTTTCTGGTTGATTGGATAAATTACAGGTGAATCATAATGATATTCTTACCTGCTTGTTGGCTTTTTTTTTTTCTTCTCCTCTCTCCCTAGGTACCCAGGTGTCCCTGCTGATATCCAAGAAGAGAATGGGATCCAGTACAAATTTGAAGTGTATGAAAAAACTGTCATGGCACAATAAGGGAGGCATTTTGTACTTCTGTGTAAGGGCAAGTATTTTAATCCATGAAGTTTTAGTGAGTGTAAAGATACATTAAAATTTTTAAGAAAATCATGCCCGATGGTACAATACCTCAGTAGTGAATGGTTCCAAAAACCACACCCCACACTTTGAAGGTACACCCTGCAGAAGGGGGTCTGAGCAATTCCACAACAAAGGTTGCAGGGGACCTTGCACTGATCTTACAACACGTGGCAGCATCCCTGACAATTCCACAGATAAGGAAGGGCATTTGACTGTCTCAGACCTTTCTACTGAAACAAAGGGTTTTGGTATCTCTCCTTGTTCAAAACGTGCAGCACTGAGAAAGCACCAATCCTCCCAAGTTTGACTGGGGTGCTGTATACATTGATAACAGCCTTATCAGTGTAGGGGTAAAGGTAAGCAAGCCCAGCAGGGGAAGGGGGATCAGGAAGTCTCATGCAGCAGTTGAGGGTGCACTGATCCAGGACCTGTTGTTAGTGTTCAGGAACACATAATCACAGCATGATTATATGCAGGTGCTTTTATTGAAGAGCTCTGGGTGTGAGGGGTAGACTGACCCAAATCTGACCTGACATGGGTTTGGGATGAATACGTTTTTATACCCTTATCATTATATAACTACATAATAATTATTCCACTTACATTGTTCTATTGTATACATAGATTTCATCCGAGCATGGATTTTGTAATTTCCATCAGGCGCCCCCCAACATCGTTTCTCATGATTTCTGTTACGATTAAACAATAATTATATCCAATTAACAAACAGTCATCGCATCTAACAATAACATCATTTATCATAGTCATTAAATGATTCTACAGGTGCAGTCTAACATTTTCCCAGGGCCTGCCAGGCTTATCCTTCCTTTCTAACTCCCCTGAATATTCCATGATTGTAGAAACATTTTATCCTTATACTGTCACTCCAGGGTGCATCCCACAGGATCACCAGTCCTGCTGCAGAACCTGCTCCAGGTGGGCCCCTCTCCCTGTGGGGCCACAGTTGCTGCCAGGAGCCCCTGCAGCAGGAGCTGCCCGTGGGATCACAGCCCCCTCCTGCCTCTGCTGCTGCAGTGTGGGCTCCTCAGGGCTCCCCATGAGCTGAGGGGAGCCTGAGCTGCTCCTGCCTGACCTGCCCTGCAGGGCTCTTCTCCTCTCCCCCCCCAGTACCTCTTGCCCCAGGTGTTGTTCCCCACGGGTTTTCCCCCACCTTCTTACCTCTGTTGTCCCAAAGGTGCCACACTGGGCTCAGCCTTGGCCAGCAGTGGCTCTGCCCTGCAGCCAGTGGCATTGGCCCCACGGGACACGGGGGAAGAAGCTTCCAGCAGCTTCTCACAAAAGCCACCACCCCTGCAGCCCCCCTGCTCCCCACACCTGGCCACACAAACCCAGCAAAATCTGGTAAAGAAGCTTTAATATTTCCCTGGGCTCACAGCTGTGTGAAAGCTTTGTTGCTCTCATAAAAAGTCACTGTCAGTTTGACTGCAGCCACTTGGAAGTGGAAGAAAATATATGTTGATTTAAAAGTCTGTGTTCCTATGTTCCTGTCAGGCATTATCAGTAAAGATACAGTTTGTTTATCAGTGTGATTTTGTGGATTATAAGCAATAGTGGAGTAGTTCTGTTTCATCTTTAAATACTAGATATAGTTAAATACAAAAATGGTAAAAATATTAAATAAACTGGTATAATTTACACTGATGTTCCCTTAGAATATCAGCTATGAGCACCCCTTGAATTTCTCATGGCACTTTGCTACAACACCTAGCTGATAAAAAACATATTTGTTGCAGCGCCTGCTCTGACTTGTCTCAGTTTTCTCTGTATTTCCTTTGAAACTGTAAGCTCTTCCCTGTATTGATCTTCTTGTTCCATGTGTGCTGATGTTACATCAATCGATAAAAACAAGTTTATGCTTACATAATGCTGCAAGTAGTCTCCAGAGTTGGAAATTGACAGCACATTGTTGAAGGGGAGGAAAGAGACTGCTGCCAGGGAGATGTCATTTGTTTTTTTAAAATACGAGTCACAGTGACCCTGGCAAGAGAATAACCTCCCAAAAGTGTTTAAAACATACCTGTTATAGGTCAGTGTTGAAAGCTCTGACAGTTTGCAAAGTACTGTGTTTAGGACAGCTGACATTTATTAAAAGTGGAAGAAAAGACTTCATGCAATGTAGGCTGAGGCCAACATACATTAGAAACTTTGTGCCTAAGTGCAAAGATAGGGTTCACTGAGGCCAGGATGTTTTGTAGCATCATTTCAAAGAACTTTTACCTTGGGTGCAAAAACAAGCCTGCTGAGAACATAAGTGTTTACTCTTGATTCTTTGTGGACTCACTCAGTCCTCTCCAGACTTAACTATGTCCTTTGTCAGATACAACAACAAATTAAGTTAATTGACGTTTCGTGGAAATGCGAACTTCTCTCTCCTACTTGAAACTTTTCAGAACATAATGCTGTTCCTTCAGTGTGGCTCTCTGCCACAAAGATCCATTTTTGTTTGGTGTGGTTTTCAGCAGAAGCACTGCATTGGGACAGCACCTTTTGTCCCACAGCTTTTCAATATACAGAGCCCTGTCGAGAGCTAGGAGGATGCATTTGACTGCAGTGAAGCTGAACCCAAAATCATGTTGTTGAACCCAAGATCATGTCATCTGTTCCCCCCACAGAGAGGCAGCCCAGGCACCACTCTTTGCCCACGCCAAGGCTAAAGGCTTGCTGTCTCAGGGTGGGTGGGCAGGAGCGTGTGAGCCTGTGTGCTCAGCAAGCACATGCAGACTGGTTGCTCTCAGCGTATTGTGGGGGTGGTTACCTGGCCCCTGTTACTTGCCCAGGGTAAAAATAAGTCTCTCATACTGTGGCTTGAAGAGAAAAAAGCCTGTGTTCCAAATGCGTCTTCCCCATGTTTTGTTTACTCCTGTACCTCATTGATGAATGATTCCTTGAAAAGCCATAGATTGTCATTATGTCCAGTGCAGGGGGAAATGTCATGTTTTTACCCAGTTCCATGCAGCTAAGTGCAATGAACAGCATCATGAGTGACAGTGTAATTACCAATCACCAAGAAAAGTCTATACAGGAATAATTTAATCCCCCTCATTCATGCTTTACCAGGAACAAACTGTTCCAAACATACTAAAATCTTAATTTTCAAAGATAATACTAGATTTAACAAGATAGCTAAAACCAGAGGGTTTGCATAAAAAGTCAAAAACAAACATAAATGTTTTTATTGCTTGTCTATTACACATTATCTCTTATCTGACAGTGGACAGCGATTTCCATTTGGCTGTAGAAAGCTGATGCTTTCAGTAGTGTTAGAGCCATGGTGTATTCAAGGTCAGAGCTGGGAACATTCCAACAACAAATCTCTATTGTGGACAGCAATCCGTGGAAAAGAAAGGTACACTCTGAAAAATAAGTTAGCTAATTTAGCAAATAAAATACTATTAGTATTTATACAGAAGAGCAGGGGAAAAACAGGAAGGGGAGAATGGCAATGATTATCTTATTCAGGTTATCTCAGGAGAGCACTGGTACCACTTGACATCTTAATGGGGAACAGACAATTGTGTTGACTTCATCAGACAACAGCTAATTTGCTGGGGACTTAAACCTAAACCCAAACCTAGGCTGACTTGAAAAGTTTTGCTAGCAGAAGTGGGAGCAGGCAGAGGCAGCAGCTGACTTGGATGGAAGGACTGTTCTTTAATCAGGATAGAAAATTAGGTGAGCAGAGGTGACAGATGAGGTGACAGATGAGGCGACAAAGCCTGGTAAAGTACAAAACTGGGAGATGCCTCCCTTGTTATTCAGGTGGGCATTAGCTGGCTCTGCTTGCCCTGGAGGGCTGTAGGAATAAAGCCAACCAAGTTAGGGTAAGGCTGCCTGAAAAATATGAAGAGCCAGGTCCTGAAACAGAAAAGTGGAAGAGGAGAAAGAGACCTGAGAAGAGGACATTGATGTTTCCTAGAAGGATACATGGTTTATGGTGTTAGTTTGCCCTGTAGCTATAATTACTAAGAAAACACTTTAAGAGTGCTGCGGGGTTTAGCACCTTGAAGATGCTGTGACAAAGAATTAGAGAGGGATTTTCAGGATCTGGGCGTTTGTGTGCCTGCCTTTGTCAGCTCCACAGAAATCCTCAGCTGGAGCTGCTCTCCGGAGGTGCCTGCTCTGCGCCGGGAGCGAGAGTCCCATCCCAGAGCCTCCTGTGCCCAGGGGCTGTCACTGTGCCCAGCCCAGTGCTCTTCTGCTTCCCTCGGTTCCGGGACTGCACGTGGGAGACCTGCTCTTTTCCCTGCCTCCACTTGTTTTCAGCTGGCTCTGGGATGATCCTGGGTTATTCTACCCTCTGCTCTCTGCAGATCGTTGTGTCTTCTTTCTGTAACATCAAAGCAAAATTCATACAAGAAGCCTTTTGTTAGGTTAATTGACATGGTTGGAAAAAGAATAGATGAGCTCTTAAGCAGAGGTCTATTCTGATTACATTTTCAGAACTTCTTTTCAAGTGACTTGGACAATGGCTTATATTGCAAAAGTCTGCTCATCTCCAATTAAATTGCGTAGGTTAAAGTAGATTATCTTTTCTCATATATCTTGTTTTGCTCTTTTTATCATTTGATGGTTTAGCTACAGCATTTCTATAACCTCTTCAGTCCCTGAGCTGTAGTCCTCACCATTCTGTTCCTTATCTCTTCAGTCTCATTCATTGGATTGAAAATTTACAGAAATTCAGAGAATTGGGCTGATCAAGAGAACTAGGTATTTCAAATAGATGTCTCTTAAGTATGTGCTTATTTCTGATTAAGTGGTGGTAAAGTGTTTTTTCTTGAAATTGGGCCATATATTTGCCTAAGTAAACAAAGCTGTAGGCATGAAAATAAATATTTTGTTAAGTGATGTCTGCTGTGGAGAAAAAAAGGAAAAGTAAATGCAAACTGAGAATAAACAGAACTTGAGAGGGCAAGAAATGAATGATACACCGTTACCTATGGAGCCCTAAATCAATCTCTTTTCCCTCTTTGAGCAGTTCAGTTTAATAAGTTCCTAACACCAAGCAGAGT